CCAGGGCTGGGCTGCTGCCGCCCTCTGCCTGCCGCCTGCCCGCACTGCCACCGGGGGGGGGACACGGGGGGGGACACGGGATTAAAGAGGGGACACCCCCCCCTAAACTGCCATAGCCCCCCCCAGCCCCAGCTGAACACTTAAGAGAGGTGTTAGGGGGGTGGAAAGAAAGAAAAAAGTTGGGGGGACGCAGAAAGGAAGCGGCTTCTGCAAAGCCACCGATGAACCCCCATGGCCAAAAAGGGGGCCAGTGGTCTCCTGGGGGGGCCAGTAGGTCCCCCAAGGTCATCCTCCCACTCTGCTCAGCACTGGGACCAGTTCTGGACCCCCCCCGCCCAGTTCCAGGACAGGGAACTGCTGGAAAGAAGCCAGTAGAGGCTGTGAGGATGAGGAGGGAGGGGAGCATCTCCTTTCTCCACGCCTGGAGAAAAGTAGACTGAGAGGAGATCTCATTGATGCTCATCAACATCTACAGGGTGGGGTGGGGGCAAGAGGATGGGGCCAGACTCTTCCCAGTGGTGGCCGGGGGCAAGGGGCACAAACTGGGACAGGGGGAATTCCATCAGAAGATAAGGAAAAATGTCTTTTATTTAAGAGTCTTCATCTCTGGAGTCTCCATCTCTGGAGATGGATATTCCAAAGCCCCCTGGACATGTTCCCTACCAAAGCAGGGTCACCCACAGCAGGCCCCGCCTGGAGATGTTCCCTACCAGAGCAGGGTCAACCACAGATCTCCAGAGGTCCCTTCCAACCCCCGTCGGTCTGTAAAGCACCCAAAAAAAAATATATATACAATTTTGCAGTCAAACACAGTGAATTTGAGCCCGAGCTGGTGCCTTTCAGCCCATGGAGAGGCTGTAGGAGCCCTCGCTGCTGCTCTCCACGTCCAGGGATGAGGTTCTCCTGCACGGGACAAGGGGTTGGAGGACAGTTGTGGGGCTGGCAGGGCCTGGAGATGATAACTGCAGCAAAGAGACCTGCTATGGAGACCCAGAGATGACCCCAACGAGCTATGGGGCACCAGCCCCCCCATTTGGGTCCCTCCATCCTAAACAAGCCAGTCTGTCCCCAACTTGTGTGACCAGCTCAGGGCACTGAGATGGTTCATGCCCCATCTCCAACACACACACACAATATTTTCTACCTAAGAGGTCTCCATTAGACACAACCAATGGGTCAGAGCAAACCCCACGTGTCCCTACGGCTGCCCTGGCCCCACACGGAGGGGTCCAGGACAGAAGACACTCATGGGGAGACCCTGCCACCATCCTTGACCCCGTTGTGTGACATCCCGGTGGGCAGGGACTTCTCTCTGCCCTGGTGGAGATGACCTGGATGCTGGTTCCTCTTTGGTCTAGAAGAGAGGAGAGGGGGTGACCGGCACCTCACGAAGAGGGGGACCCCACGTCCCAGCACATCTCACCCCACCAGCTGGACCTCCAAGATTTTGCTCTCCAAGAGGATTTGGCTGCTCCGTGTTCTCCAGAGCCTTCCCCAGGAGGAGCACCACGATGTTGAGGGAGAACTGAGGTTTTCTGGAACAAGAACCAACCCATCACCCATGGATCTCCAACAGTGCAGGTTCCACCGTACCCCCCTCATCCCTGCACCCACCCTTGGCTCCAGGTTCCTGATCTCTGGTGGCTTTTTCTTCTCCACCAAGGCCAGCAGTGCCTTGTAGTCAAAAATCCATCTCTTGGAAGAGCTCAGCCACCACCATGGTCACCTCCAGGAGGGAGAGGGACACAGAGGACCTGTCTGCCCGTGCTGTGCAGGGTCAAAAGTGGGGGGGACAATGGAGCAGGAAGCCTTGTCCCCACTTCCATGGGCTCCAGCTGCAGCTCAGTGGTGCCACTTGCTGCTCAAGAGCCTCCATCTCCTGCCAAAAACCACCTTGTTTAGGTGGGATGGGGATGAGAAGGTGCTGAGAGCCTTCATCCAGAGCGGGACCTTGTCTTCTCCAAAAACACAGCCCTGTCCAAGCACCTACAGAAAAGAAAACACCTTTGGGGACCTCTGGCACCACGGCAAAGCCTCACCATCGCTGGCTTCTCCCGTGATGGAGGCAACAGGATGTCCCTTCTCCACCTTGGGCTGGCACGAGGCTTCCCCCTCCTCCAGGGAAAGGAGGAAAGGAAGGAAAACCATCCCCACCACCTCCACCAGTACCCAAATTGGGCAAACTGGACCCTGTGGCTCGGTGGGGAAGAGCTCCAGGAAGCCCAGCAGGGAGGTGGACCTCCATAAAACCTTCCTGCTGCCAGGAGAAGGGCTGTGGAGGCAGGAATGAAATGTTTGGAGCTCCTGGAAGGTCATGGAGGGGCTGGTGACCATCCCTAGTGATGTCCCAACCCAAGAGCATCCCCTTCCCAGCCCGGATCTCGGCCCAGTGGCCACTGGGACCCAGTTAAACCTCCTCCCCCAGCACCGAGAACTTCATCCCCCCCTTAAGTCTTCCTCCCCAACCGCATCACATGCCCGGGCCAGGTTGAAGCCAAATAAAAAAAAGGAAAAAAAGCAAAAAAAACCCCAAACCCCTCGGTTGCCACGGTGACGCGGCGCAGGATGCTATATTTAACTGTCACGCGAGGAGCCCGCGCGCCCCAGCGAGGACCACGCTCTTCCAGGGGGGACATGTGGGGGGCTGAGCACTGACAGACCTCGTGTCACCTCCCAATGAGCCCCCCAGGGTGGGTCTGTGGTGTCCCGGGTGGGCAGTGGGTACGTCCTGCCTCTTGGATGGTCTGGAAGGACCACACTGGAATTAAAGCCCACCTGGGGTCTCCTAAACCCACCTGGTTTTTCTTGTGGCTTCCTCTGCGTTGCTGTTGTCACCTCCTGGGGGGCTGCCACCCCTCCCCTGTCACCCAACCCCCAGTCACCTCCATCCTTCTCCTCCCAGGGCTGCTCCTGCTCCGTGCCATCAGCTCCTCCTGCCGTCCCTGCACTCCAGAGAGGGGTTTCATGGAACCACACAATGGTTTGGGTCGGAAGGGACCTTCAAGACCACCCAGTGCCACCCCCTGCCCTGGGCAGGGACACCTCCCACCAGCCCAGGTTGCTCCAAGCCCCCTCCAACCTGCCCTTCAACCCCTCCAGGGATGGGGCAGCCACAGCTTCTCGGGGCAACCTGGGCCAGGCTCTCACCACCCTCCCACCAAACAAGTTCTTCCCAATATCTCAATCTCCCCTCTTCGTTGAAGCCATCACCCCTCATCCTATCACTACCTGCCCTTGTAAGAAGTCCCCCAGACCTGGCAGCAGCCCACAGAGCCCCCCCCCTTGTGCTGCAGCACCCAGGGATCACCCCATCTCCTGCCAGCCTGGTCCCATCCCAAACATCAGCTCCAGCAGCACCACAAGCAGGAGCACATCTCAGCCCCTGGCACCGCCTTGAGCCCAGACACGCTGCAGGAGACACAGCAGCACCTTCACAGAGTGGTTTGGGTTGGAAGGGACCTTAAAGACCATCTCATTCCAAACCCTTTCCCTGGGCAGGGACACCTCCCACCAGCCCAGGTTGCTCCAAGCCCCCTCCAACCTGCCCTTCAACCCCTCCAGGGATGGGGCAGCCACAGCTTCT